ACCATGATTGATCTAGATAAAGGCTCTCTTGAAGAGACACTTTTTTTGGTGTATTTTTAAAGTTTTCTGTTTCTGTGTAATTTTTTCTGTTTCTCAAATTTCTCGTGGCAGATGGTTGCATAGCAATGGGCCACATTTATAAAGGACATATCCCCATTTGTTTAGGTAGGTGGCTTTGGCACCACAAGCAGATATTGATCTTTTGATCGGAGAGAACGTGCAGGTTTGTATGGTACTATAAGTTCCTGTAAGTATGCAGGAGCCAAACTAGAGTGAGTAGTTTACATTGCACTCTTTGCACTCTACATATGAAGTAAGAGCTGTGACACATATATAAAGAAATTCACAATACGATTCGTACTCCTACATGTTTCAGTGGTATCTCTGCAATATACATGTATAGTGTAAATACTCGCGTAGTGTACACATTAGAGTGATATATGTGTCTACTGAGTGGTGATTGGTCCATATTGACAAAACTTAGAATCTGTCAACAAACTACACAATACCATGTAAATGAAAGACAGGTGTAGCCATGCGGGAACTGAATAGTTCCAAGTCAGACCGCCTCCGTGGTCTAGTGGTAGAGTGTCCGCCGTGAGAGCGGAAGGTCCGGGGTTCGATCCCCGACCGCGTCATACCAAAATACGTTAAAAGATGGTACTTGTTGTTACCCTGTCTAGCGCTCGGCATTAAGGGTAAAAGCAAGGACTGGTCGGCTCGGAGTCAGTATACTGTGTCTGGGTGGGTTTTCATGTTAAACTGCGGCATGGTATCTCAGTGACCTAGCACTATAAATCGGCATCAGTCTGGTACAAGTACAAGCAGCCACACACACACGTGCATGCACGTCGCTATATAAGTGCAATAATCTTGGACGCGACGTTAAACCTCACGACGTTAAACCTCCCGTCACCTGATATGGTCAGATTGTTCCGACCTGCTGTAAAAATGATGCACATAATAATTATTTGTCCTTAACGACGGTGGGGAAGCCTTGTGGTTAAAGCGTTCACTCGTTACGCCAATATCCGTGTTCGATTCCCCACATAGGTACACTGTGCGAAGCCCATTTCTGGTGTCCCCGCTGTGATACTTCTGGAATATTGCTAAAAGCGGCGTAAAACCAAACTCACTCACTCGGGGAATCATCCCCGCTGACCACTGTCTCCATCCCAACATTGAAGTACTTACACTTGATTCAATGTCTTTCCATTGTGTTAACGGCATACACAATAATAAACATATGAGTAAAAAAATGATGCACCGCTCTATATGTAAGATAACTACGCGATAGAACGCAAAGAATAAAGAAAAACGAAGCGTGGTTTATTTCACGATAAAACATTTTTCTATCATGACGTCATTTCTGGAGATTCGAACATGCGCTCGCAAATTGATGACGTCGTAAATTGGACGACGTTGTTTGCGAGAGGGAAGTGTCTGGTGAGTTGATCCCCACAGATGTAGCTGGGCAACGTGGATAAACGCAATGCCCGAAAGATCGCTTCCAAAAGTGGGAGATATATGACAATCGGTATTGGGAGAAAAGGTACAGATAACTGACGTGAATATTGTGAGTATAAGCCTAATTTACCCCGCCCCTTGTTCATAAAATGGACTTGTCCAACACTGTCGGATACATTTCAGGGAGTCATCATTATTTAGATACCGTTTAAATATGTTTAAAGCATTTTTAAAGCATATACATTTTATTAACATCCAAGAGACTGTACGTAATGTTGATTTCTCATATCTAAAAAAACGACTCATGGTTGTTGTTTACCGTTCACTAAAGAATTGCAGGGAGAATAAATCACTCGAGGATGCACTCATGGTTTACTCATCCTGCGGTGTTTTATTGTACGACTAACACCGCCCACTCGTCGTTTATTTCTTATATAAATATATTACTGTATTGTTGAACTTTGATGTGTTGAACTTTCGGTTGTCTCGAAGTATTCCTTCTTTATTCATCCTTTTTCGGTTGTGTCGAACCTCGGTTTACTTGATTTACTTACTTAAATGTCGGTCAACTTCGCGTCCAAGATTATTGTACTTATATAGCGACGTGCATGCACGTGTGTGTGTCGCTGCTTGTACTAGTCCGGACTGAACCCGATTTATAGTGCTAGCCCACTGAGATACCATGCCGCAGTTTAACATAAATACCCCACTCAGACTCAGTATACGGACTCCGAGCCAACCAGTCCTTGTTTTAGCTCCTTAGTGCCGAGCGCCAGAAAGGGTAACAACAAGTACCATGTTTTAACGTATTTTGGTTTGACGCGGCCGGGGATCGAACCCCGGACCTTCCGCTCTACGGACGCTCTACCATTAAACCACGGAGGCGGTATAGAAATACAGAACAGGTTGGGAGAAGATACATTAATTGTAAACATAGACTTAGAGCTGATATGACTGAGAACAATTACTAATGTAATTTCAACTGAGCCAGATGTTCACGAAAGGCGAAGTTACGATTCTAATAAGAGAGTAATGAGTATTGCTAACTCATCGACATCTGTTTCTGAGCGTTTGTATGATCCGGGTCACAATGATCCTGTAACATGTCATCTGAACATGGCGGCTGAATATAATCGTTGCCCTAGTTTGGTAGCTTGGGTGATTGTCTGTTAACTGCTTCTCTGAGTATCGATGGTGCTTGTCACGCGTTTTCATGGTGTGGAAGTAGCATAACTTACTGTCTGATATTTAGCGGAAATATTGTTTTTTGTTTGATGTTTAACGCCACACTCAGCAATATACCAGCTACATGACGACGATCTGTAAATAATCCAGTCTGGACCATCCGGTCCTGTGATTGACATCATGAGCATCGATCCAAGCAATTGGGATACGATGACATGTTTCAACCAAGTCAGCGGGCTTGACCACTCGATCCCTTTAGTCGCCTCTTGCGACAAGCATGAGTTGCTGGAGACATGTTGTAACCCGGATCGTAACTGGTTAGTTGCAAAAAAGAGTTGTGTCATGGAGAGCAGTTCGCATCCGTTCACAACTCCCGGATATGATGCCGTTAAACAATAAATGGTGCCGCGACATTGTATCTCACCTATAAACAGTTGAAACTGTCAACGAAGACAGTCATTTAACAAACATTCCTGTCAGAGGTGGCTTCAAAATATCTTCTGCACAAATACTTATGATTTCAACAAAATATTTTGTCATTACAGGCACAGTTCCTCCAGTCTGCAAATTTCTGACATGTTTAAGGAGACAAATTATCACTTTGAGAGTAGAGTAATTATTCCCAGTGGACTTCAGATATCGCGACCCTTGCCCAAGCAAACTATGCCCGTCGTTCGAGTTGACAATGCGAAGTAAGTCGTCGGTGACTTGGTTCTGATACAAATAGCTGATTTGTATTGTTTGTATTCCAATATTTACAGGTCATCATCATATAACCAGAATGTTGGAGTGAGGCGTTAAACAAGAAAGACAGAAACACTGTGAAATTCGTGTTTCTTAGGTCTGCCATTCAAATCCAGATAATAAGAAACTATTTTTTTTCATTGAACACATTCAATGTTCCACAGCGTTTTCAGCAGTTTTAGGTAAACCGGATTCTAGCACTATAGGTGAGATATGGTGAGGTTAGGTGAGGTGAAATGGGGTTTAACGTCGCGTTCCAGACTATTTCACTTATAGAGCTATTTGCATGCACATGTGTGTGTGTGTGTGTGTGTGTGTGTGTGCGCGCGCGCGTGTGTGCGTGCGTGTGTGTCTGTGTGTATCCGGCTACTTGTACTAGTCCGGACAAATTCATAGTGCTCGCCCACTGAGATACCATGCCGCAGTTTAACACGAATATCCTACAGTATACTGGCTCCGAGCCGAAATTCACAAAGCAAGAATAAAGATGCATTTATCAACAGGTGCTCCCTGACAATGCAGTTTAACCGAAGGTTGCAGACATATGTCTGCATTATTATTCTCTATTTGCAAGTTCCAGGATCCTCTACACAGTTCATATGTTTTCTTCTGGTTTTTTTCTTTCCTTCTTTATTCATCTCAGCAGGTACAGCATATATATACATGCCAAGTCAATAGAATAGTGGTACGTGGTATTTAAGAAGTGTACAGCTATTCATACATATGGATTCTTGCCGGTAAAGTCAACGTGACAGCATCAGTGTGTATTACAGATTGGTTTTTAAACAAAGTGTAGAAGGAAGACCAGAAACTAAAAATGTTTGCATAGTTACAATTTGTAAATGACATTACCTTTGTAGCATGGTAATAACTAATTATCTCATGCTGTATTTGTTCAAAATGTGGCATTAATCTTTTCCTACATTGTCTGTATATAAGTTGTTTTCTTATTAAAAGTAAAATATACAATGGGTTGTTGTGTTTGCCTTGACAAAACAAAACATTTTCTCTGTTCAAATTAATGGTTCCTTGACAACGGTTGTTATCCAAATGTACAGTTTCTCCAAAACCGTTTTGACATAATCGCACTCATATAACATATGGATTATAGTCGAAAGTTTATTTGTACAGAAAGAACACAAACGAGAGTCAACATATCCAATTTTATATAAATAATTATTGGTTGTAAGAATGTTGTGAATACTCTTAAACTGAAATTATACAGGCCATGTTGATGTAACCAACAGCGACAATTCGTTTACTGTAATAACAATCAGATAAATCCCGTGCGTGTGAGCTCGATGATGCTGACTCATTGACACTCCTTCATCGATTCGCCATGTTATTCAAAACGAAAGAACATAATCAGAAGTTCATTTCTGGTGTTTTCTGTCGCGATATGGTTCATAGAGTATCAGCTTACCCAATGAAATGTTGCGAATAATATCAATCACTGGATTGTCCATTTAACCACAGCTTCTATTCACAATAAATCCGTCACACTGGCTGCTGGCTACCTGATACTATGCAGAAATGGTTTTGCATTAATATTGGCCTGAACATTCCGCCACATATCTCTTACTATATAACCCACAATCCAGCGATGTACCACGTGGTGTGAAACCAGCTTCTATAACCTGAGTCACACGCAGTGGAACAGCGTTAGCCTGACTGTGTCTGTCCCCGCCTTCCACACATGCTCCACAAGAACTGACTATGATCTTCCCGGTGCTGATTGTGCTTTCATTCACGGTGTTTCCAGCAGAGGCTCGAAATGTTATCCCCACTTCTTCTGAATTGTGCATGAGGAACTGGTGTGGACGAGTGTAAGTATCCCGGGACCGACTTCATTCTCGTTTATGTTCAATGAATACATCAACTTTATGTTCTGCCTTACATTTCTGGTTTGTGCGACGTTTAGTATACGATCGAGTCCAAGACTTTTTCATGCCCATGAGTATTTTCTTATGCATGTTTGTTGTTTAACGCCATGCTCAGCAATATTCCAGCTATATGATGGCTGTCTGTAAATAATCGTGTCTGGACCAGACAATCCAGCGACTGACATCATGAACATCGATCCACGCAAAATGGATCATCATCAACCAAGACAGCGAGCCTTACCACCCGATCCCGTTAGTCGCCTTTTACGGCAAGCGTAGGTTTCCGAAGACCTATTCTACCCCGGATCTTCACGGTTGTCTTCACGATACTGTGATAGTATACTGCTCAACATTTGAGAGGAATATTATGTTTTGTTTCTTTGTTGTTTAACGCCGCACTAGGCAATATTCCAGCTACATGGCGGCGGTCTGTAAATAATCCAGTCTGGACTTTTCGGTCCTGTGATTGACATCATGAGCATCGATCCACGCAATTGGGATACGATGACATGTTTCAAACAAGTCAGCGAGCCTTACCACCCGATCCTGTCAGTCGCCTCTTGCGACAAGCATAGGCGCCTTTTACGGCAGGCATGGGTTTCCGAAGACCTATTCTACCCCGGATCTTCACGGTCGTCTTCACGATACTGTGATAGAATACTACTCAACATTTGAGAGGAATATTATGAGTGTCCAGAAGATAAATCTGAGTGGCTGTTGGAGATGTTGGCGCACGAGTAGGATGCCATTGGGCCAGGACCTGACGCACGTTGAGCTTCATTTCACAATCAACAATAAACAAAAGTAAACAATAATAGGAAAGAATCGATGGTCCTTAACCTCTTTTGAGTAGTATGGATGATAGCGGAGATGAATTTCATTTGTAGATGTAAATATTTCACAGAATAAAGAAAAGTGTACATACCAGAAGAGGTCATGCATATTGTAATTTCAAGCACTATTTAATTGTACTTAATTGTCAGTAACGAAATAACCGCTTTTCAATCTCTGAGGACATCCCATTGCGGGTCACGTCAGAACGACCTTTCACGAATTTTGACCAACCAATGAAATGACTGACAAGAAATCGACATTAGCCAATCAGAAGGCAGCTTTCCCAAGCTTTACGACACTAGTTTCAAACTGGCGACTACACTTCGAAACATATTAACCCGTAACTGTCGTTCAGAATACCCCGTGTTAATTAAACTACCGGGCAAAAGAAAGTTTTCACTTTAAAAATAATTGTATAAAAAGCAAAAAAGCTGGTACAGGTTTGAACCCCCGCAGAAAACATTCGCCCAAATGCAACATGATCACAACTACAACGCAGATTTTCGAACGCAGCTTTCCAAATCATGCATTGTTGAAAACGTGATTTTGAGACATTAGTCCAAATGCACGTGCGTGATTGTGGCATAAATACCGTCGTTGGACAAACAGGCATTCAGTAATAAAAAAAACACCAAGAATATGCCCAGACTTACACAAGCGCAACGAGACAGAGCGATCGGTATGGCCAATATGGGGGCTACTCAATGTCAGATAGCCAGAACCTTCAACTGCTCCCAGACCACCATCAGCAAGTTGATAATCCGCTACCAACAGACAGGACAGACTCAAGACCGGCCAAGATCGGGAAGACCGAGACTGACAACACCGGCCGAAGACCGCTACATCCGGCAGATTCACCTCCGAAACAGATGTGTGACGGCGACGTCAACGGCGGCAACAGCACTAGGGAATGCTATCAGCAGACGAACAGTCCTTCGACGACTTCGTACGGCTGGTATACGAGCCTACCGACCCTTCCGTGGAATGGCCTTGACCCGTCTACACCGTCAACGCAGACTGCAATGGGCACGAACCGTACGTCGGTGGCAGCGACGTGACTGGGCGAGAGTGCTCTTAACAGATGAAAGTCGGTTCTGTCTGTTCAGGAACGATGGCAGAGTTCGAGTTTTTCGACGAAGGGGAGAGCGACTGGCGCCAAACTGCATTAGAGAAGTTCACCCGTTTGGAGGTGGAGGCGTCATTGTATGGGGGGGGGGGGGGCATTTGTTGCCAGATTACAACACGGCTGGTTATCATCCGAGGAAACCTGAATGCTCAGGGATGAAGTGTTGAGACCTGTTTCGGTGCCCTTTATTCAACATCAGCCAAGAGGATTAATTTTGCAACAAGACAACGCAAGGCCTCACACCGCCCGAATTGTTCAAGACTACCTGAACAACGTTAACGTCAACGTATTGCCCTGGCCACCTTGTTCTCCAGACATGAACATCTCCATTGAACATCTCTGGGATCATCTTGATCGTCAGCTGAGACAACATGTACCGCCTCCAGCGAACTCTATTGAACTTATGGAACAGGATTCCTGTTGACGTTATCCGCCGACTGACGACGTCAATGAGGAGGCGTGTGTTGGCGTGCATGGATGCCCAGGGTGGTCAAACTCGCTATTGATGACGTGTTACCTGACTACTGTGTCATTAATGGACTCTTCGTGCACTTTTTCAATGAACTCCGATTTGTGTAATTTTTAATTTGGACCCCTTGACTCTTTCTTTGTATATTGCGGAGAATGCAATATCGGCATTACAATGCATTTTCATTCTAATTCATGGAAAATGATTTCTGTTTATAAATTAATAATCATGAATCTCACATATGCCTTTGTTTTTGGTGTTTGGTGTCAAGTGAAGTCGGTAAAAACTTTCTTTTGCCCGGTATTTTATTTCGTGGTTGCATGATTAGAAAACACATTCCGACTATCACTTTCATGATCTTGTAAGCGATGCTCTGATTGGTTGGATGAAAGGTCGTTCTGACGTGACCCTTAATGGGATGTCCTCAGATTTTTATTAGCGAGAACAAAGATCTGATTTTAATGAGATTGAAACGCTTTTGTACCTCATGTGCCAAATATTTCGGCCTTTAGTGTAATAAGATCTGTTCTGAAGGCTGAGGACACCAGTCTTCCTGAACCTGAAATGGGATCTCACAAGCAGCAGCCCACGCTGAGATCCCTGTGGGGAGTCCTCACAGGAATGGGCGCCGTTGTACATAACAAACTTAGTGCTAAGTGAGTGAGTGAGTTTTTTTTACGCCGCTTTTAGCAATATTCCAGGAATATCACGGCGGGGGACACCATAAATGGGCTTCACACTTGTCGTGAATCGAACCCGGGTCTTCGGCGTGACGAGCTAACGCTTTAACCACTAGGCTACCCGACCGCCCCCTTAGAGCTGAGACTGTCGTAAGTCTATCTTAAGGTATTGGTGTGGCGATTGCCTTAGTGCTAAGATCGCTTTGTCCTACTAGGCTACTTAATGGACGGCCAGACTGGCTGATCCGGTTGTTTCGAGGTCGCCGTCGTATAGCCTGAAGTCAGGGATCCAACGACCAAATGAAAAATATACTAAGCAAATAAGAGGCTCACAAATCGCGCTCTATTATCTCACCATTGTGAACCGCAGGTTACCATGACTTCTGAAGAATTATAACAGATGCTACCTTAACGAGTCGCACATATGTAGGACAACAAGAATGCCCGATATTTCACAGCATTGGGTGAACAATATAAGTTATTTTATTCAAATATTCATGTAATTCATTGGAAGATTATCAGATATATTAATAGGGTGTAACAGAGCTTATGGCTTCACTGGTTCTTTAGTTAAACGTGCAGCGTGTTGCACATCTTGCTTACTTGACGTTTTTTCGAATGTCGTCTTTGGTGTTCGGGATATATCATGGGCGGTCTCAGGGTTTGCAATTCACTGTTATGAGTTGCGTCCCTTAGGTGCATCAGGATTCGGCGTTATTGAGTTAGAATCCCGCATTCACTCCGAGGATGATGTTAGTTCTACCATTTACACAGTCCCTTAGGTTTCACGAAAGTGGTAAACGTTAATTGTGACTTTACCCGTGAAGATCCGAGTCAGATTTGATCTTCTGTACCCATGCTTGTCGTAAGAGGCGACAAACGGGATCGGATGGTGAGATTCGGTTACTTGGTTGATGCATGTCGTATCCCACTTGCGTGGATCGATGTTCATGTTGTCAATCACAGGATTGTCTGGCCTGTCAAAGGTCGATTATTTAGAGACCGCCGACATGAAGCAGGAACATTGCTGAGTGCGGCGTTAAATAACAGACAAGCACGTGCATTTACCACCACACGAATCGGACAATCTGTGGTCGAACTGAAATGCTGTCCGGAGCGGAGTTAAACTCATCTCACTCAGTCACTTGTGGGTATGGGGCGGTCGGATAGCCTAGTGGTTAAAGCGTTCGCTCGTCACACCGAAGACCCGGGTTCGATTCCCGACATGTGTACAATGTGTGAAGCCCATTTCTGGTGTCCCCCGTCGTGATATTGCTGGAATATTGCTAAAAGCGGCGTAAAACTATACTCACGCACTCACTCACTTGTGGGTATAAGTAGCCCAGTGGACTAATGTGGTACATTTCGCTGTGTAGAGCGTGCCAGAAACCCATGATCGTGGTTCGAATCCCGGTTCGCCCCGATTATGCTTCTAGGTTTATCAGCACCATACCCCTGCTCGTGGGTTTCACCAAATTGGCAAACGTCTGAGATCTTCATCACTTCGGGTTTCCTCCCAAATCAAGCTACCTGGAATACCAACTCACTCGGTCACTCTTTACAGTGGTTTTGCTGAGGCTTCAACACTGTCTTTTTTGTCCAAACATCACAAATCCATGCGCAAACAGCAGGTCGATGACGGCACAGAGAAATTGACGTTGCTTTGCATCATTTCAAAATGGTGTGTTTGGAGGGAGACAGGATATTTTGCCCCTGTTATCGTACACTCTGCCACGATTTCCTTTGGGGTAACCTGGGTAATATGCATAATTAAGTCATATGACTAATAATGGCGCTTAATGAGAACGCTGTTTTTGCATCCACCATTGTATAGGGTAATGTATCGTCCCTTTCTTTATCTTTATCTGAATTATATAATTATCTGTTAATTATAACTCTCTATTGTAGTTTTGGTTTAACATGTTGTCGTTAAACTTTTCCCAGCCTTCATATCTTTGTATTGTCATTGAAGCTTATTTTTAATAACTTATATATAATCGTGGGTGATGCAACCAATGTTTACTTGCCTTGTAAAGGGAGGAAATCCGACAGAAATGTTCTTCCATGAATTTGCAACTAAACTGACGGCCAAAAGAAACGTTACCAACGATATTTCTAGGATAAAATATGACCAACACAATTTGAAGCAGCAATAACAAATGTATTGAAGAAATTCATCATTCAGAACAGTAAAATGCGAATTTACTAATTCAACAACAAAGTCCTTGACCTCCAACAGGGACATTACAACTTTAAGGTGACGACGGCCCAGACCGTTCAATACGGGATATGACCTCCATGAGCGGCAATGCATCTTCGAATGCGGCGTCGAACTGAGTAGACAAGCGTCCTCACATCGACTGCAGGTATCCGATTCCATTTCTCACGGAGGGCAACGATCAACGCTCGTCTCGTGAAGGGAGGATGTTGACGTTTCCGAAGACGACGCCCCAGCTGGTCCCAGAGATGTTTTATGGGTGACGGATCTGGTGATCGAGCTGGCCACGGCAGGACAGTCACGTTGTTGGCGTTGAGGAAGTCTCTAGTAATACGGGCTTTATGGGGTGTGGCGTTATCTTGTTGGAACACCGTCCGTTGTTGACGCTGGATGAAAGGAAGAACCACTGGCAGTAAGATATTGTTAATGTAGCGTTGTGCTGTCAGATTGCCTTCGATGATGACAAGTTCCGTCTTCTCGTCCCCGCAAATGCCGCCTCAGACCAACACACTTCCGCCCCCATAAGGTTCCACCTCCTGGACACAACAAGGAGCTGTACGTCCACCACGTCGTCGATAAACACGCGTCCACCCATCAGGTTTGAAGAGTTGGAACCTGCTCTCGTCACTAAACAGCACTCGCCGCCATTCCCTTTGTTGCCATCGCTGAGTTTGCCTGCACCACGTCAATCTGGCACGTCGATGTTGACGGGTCAAGGTCATGCCCTTGAAAGGGCGATAAGACCGGAGACCATAATGTCATTGTCGTCTGGTCACTGTTTGTCTGCTGACCGGATGTCCTAAGCTGTTGGCAGCTGATGACGTCACAGTAAGAAATCTGTTCCTCAGATGAAGTACCCGTAAAAAGCGGTCATCTTGCGGGGTCGTGACCTTTGGTCTGCCACTCCGTGGTCTGTCGGCGGTTCTGCCAGTCTGTCGGAGATGTGCGACCAGTCTGGTAATGGTCATCTTGGAGCAGTTCATGTTAATGGCAACCGCTCTCTGCGTCGCTCCCATCTGCAGCATACCTATGGCTCTCTCCCTCTGGACAACGGTCAGTTTGGGCATGTTCGTTGGTGTTAATCATTGCAACCAATGATAGGGAACAGATCCGTGCATAATTTATACCCGAAAATTGCACGATAATTTGGGAAAGAATGTTTTAAAAAATTGCTGAAAACACCCATATCTCCCAAAATCCGCAAAGCACGTGCAAAGAACGACAGAGAACATGAAGGCTGTATTCGTGAGATGAGTTCTTTACTGTTTTTGAACAGGTTGGCATCTTTGTTTCAAAGTGGCAAATCAGTTAATGTTGGTAACGTTTCTTTTGGCCGTCAGTTTATTAATAAATGCTTAATTATTAACTTATATTTCATTAATAGCTCACTTAGGGTAACTACAACCAAGGGGATGCGACCAAGGGGTCGTGGCTCTGTCAAGGGAGCAAATCCGAAAGACATTTTCTCCCTCATATTGTGCACGATTATTTAACCATTATTAAATGCTTAGTTATTAACTTACATTTCATTTCTAGCTCATTTAGTATAACTTCGGGCAAGGGTACATCCAACAATGGTTACTGGCTGTGTCAACTTGGCAGACAGTTCTGCTTATCCAGCACGACAGCACGTAAGTCAAACTACAGTCAACATCTGATACTACAGCGTCAAATGAACTCTTATGGGGCGGTGGGGTGGCCCAGTAGTTGAAGCGTTCGCTCGTGAAGATGGGTAATGGTTAATGGTTTTAGATAGTGAAGTCGGGTAGTGCTAACAGTTTGACATAGTGAAGTCGGGTAATGGTAAAAGTCTGAGAAAGTGAAGTCGGGTAATATAACAGTCTGAGATAGTGAAGTCGAGTAATAATAAACGGTTTGAGATAGTGAAATCGGGTAATAATTAAACGTTTGAGATAGTGAAATCGGGTAATAGTTAGAAGTTTGACATAGTGAAGTCGGGTAATAATAAACGGTTTGAGATAGTGAAGTCGGGTAATAGTAAAAGTCTGAGATAGTGATGTCGGGTAATAGTAAAAATCTGAGATAGTGATGTCGGGTAATAGTAAAGGTTTTAAAAAGTGAAGTCGAGTAATAGTAAACGGTTTGAGATAGTGAAGTCGAGTAATAGTAAAAGACTGAGATAGTGAAGTCGGGTAGAGGTAAAAGTTTGAAATAGTGAACTCGCTTAATAGTAAACGGTTTGGGATAGTGAAGCCGAGTAATAGTAAAAGTTTGAGATAGTGAAGTCGAGTAATGGTAAAAGTTTGAGATAGTGAAGTCGGGTAATAGTAAAAGTTTTAGAGAGTGAAGTCGAGTAGGGGTAAAAGTTTGAGATAGTGAAGTCGGGTAATAGTTAAAAGTTTGAGATAGTGAAGTCGGGTAATAGTTAAAAGTTTGAGATAGTGAAGTCGGGTAATTGTAAAAGTCTGAGATAGTGCAATCTGGTAATGGTTAAAAGTTTGAGAAAGTGAGGTCGGGTAAGGGTAAAAGTTTGAGATAGTGAAGTCGGGTAAGGGTAAAAGTCTGAGATAGGGAAGTCGGGTGAGGGTAAAAGTCTGAGATAGTGAAGTCAGGTAGTGGTAAAGGTCTGAGATAGTGAAGTCGGGTAATTGTAAAAGTCTTAAATAGTGAAGTCGGGTAATATAACAGTCTGAGATGGTGAAGTCGGGTAATAGTAAAAAATTTAGGGAGTGAAGTCGGGTTATGGTAAAAGGATTTGAGAGAGTGAAGACAGGTAATGGTTAAAGGTTTGAGAGAGTGAAGACGGGTAGTGGTAAAAGGTTTGAGAGAGTGAAGACGGGTAGTGGTTAAAGGATTTGAGAGAGTGAAGACGGGTAGTGGTTAAAGGTTTGAGAGAGTGAAGACGGGTAGTGGTTAAAAGTTTGAGAGAGTGAGGACGGGTAGTGGTTAAAGGTTTGAGAGAGTGAAGACGGGTAGTGGTTAAAGGTTTGAGAGAGTGAAGACGGGTAGTGGTTAAAGGTTTGAGAGAGTGAGGACGGGTAGTGGTTAAAGGTTTGAGAGCGTGAGGACGGGTAGTGGTTAAAGGTTTGAGAGCGTGAAGACGGGTAGTGGTTAAAGGTTTGAGAGAGTGAAGACGGGTAGTTGTTAAAGGTTTGAGAGAGTGAGGACGGGTAGTCGTTAAAGGTTTGAGAGAGAGAAGACGGGTAGTGGTTAAATGTTTGAGAGAGTGAGGACGGGTAGTGGTTAAAGGTTTGAGAGAGTGAAGACGGGTAGTGGTTAAAGGTTTGAGAGAGTGAGGACGGGTAGTGGTTAAAGGTTTGAGAGAGTGAGGACGGGTAGTGGTTAAAGGTTTGAGAGAGTGAGGACGGGTAGTGGTTAAAGGTTTGAGAGAGTGAAGACGGGTAGTGGTAAAAGGTTTGAGAGAGTGAAGACGGGTAGTGGTAAAAGGTTTGAGAGAGTGAGGACGGGTAGTGGTTAAAGGTTTGAGAGAGTGAAGACGGGTAGTGGTTAAAGGTTTGAGAGAGTGAAGACGGGTAGTGGTAAAAGGTTTGAGAGAGTGAAGACGGGTAGTGGTTAAAGGTTTGAGAGAGTGAAGACGGGTAGTGGTTAAAGCTTTGAGAGAGTGAGGACGGGTAGTGGTTAAAGGTTTGAGAGAGTGAGGACGGGTAGTGGTTAAAGGTTTGAGAGAGTGAGGACGGGTAGTGGTTAAAGGTTTGAGAGAGTGAGGACGGGTAGTGGTTCAAGGTTTGAGAGAGTGAGGACGGGTAGTGGTTAAAGGTTTGAGAGAGTGAAGACGGGTGATGGGGAAGTAGAAGACAGCAAAGCCCGTCAATGGTACGATTTGGAGGTAATGAGGCCTGGTAATGCTATATTGTGGAAATAACGTTTAAGTGTAGATTCGGCGAGCAGTGGTCAACACTGCCGTATATGTGAATGGCAGATTCTGAATGTAGGTTGGTATTTAGATCATATGTTTGGAATATTCAGGGCCAACTACGACAACAACAACTGCCATAAGAACTACGCCAACTACAACGACGACCAGCACAACTAAGCCAACTACAACGACTACAACCACCACTACAACTACGCCAACTACAACGACCACCACCACTACTACAACAACCACAACTACTACTACTACTACTACCCCAACTACAACGACAACTACTACTACTACGCCAACTACATCAACTACAACCACTACTACTACTACTACTACCCCAACTACAACGACAACTACTACTACTACGCCAACTACAACCACTACTACTACTACTACTACTACCCCAACTACAACGACCACTACCACTACTACGCCAACTACAACAACTACAACCACTACTACTACTATGCCAACTACAACGACCACTACTCCGTCTACTACAACGACTACGACCACTACTACTACTACTACGCCAACTACAACTACAACGACCACTACCACTACTACGCCAACTACAACGACCACTACCACTACTACGCCTACTACAACGACTACGACCACTACTACTACTACTACGCCAACAACAACGACCACTACCACTACATCGCCTACTACAACGACTGCGACCACTACGACAACCTCACCGACTACAACCACTACTACCACTACGACTACTACCACACCTACCACAACAACTACTACCACAACAACCACTACGCCGACGACTACAACGGCAATGTCAACAAACAGTGGTAAGTAATGTGTTTCATTTTATAATGATTGCATGTGTAAAGTGTTTCGCAAGATCCACCATTATTAAGCATCCCTATTTGCAGCTTGGGGTGGGGTTTAATCTCGTTGAAGATTATAGCATTTATACAACAAAGTGCACCTGTACGTGTGTGAATGCCCCGGATGTGTAATCAAACAAAAATACCCAACTCAGACACTAAGACACTCCGAGTGTTCTCAGGTCTGTTTAATGAATGATGAATTATTAATAAGTAATTTGCTGTAAAGCGCAGACAGTGGAGCATGGAAGTACATATGAGTAGTAGTAGCAGTAGTCGTAGTAGTAGTCGCAGTAGTAGTAGTAGTAATATGAGTAGTTGTAGTAGTAATAGTAGCAGTAGTAATAGTAGTAGTAGTAGTAGTCGCAGTAGTAGTAGTAGTAGTAATAGAAGTTGTAGTAGAAGTAGTAGTAGTAGTAGTAGTAGTAGTAGTAGTAGCAGAGCAGCAGCAGCAGCAGCAGCAGTAGTAGTAGTAGTAGTAGTAGTAGTAGTAGTAGTAGTAGAAGTAGTAACAATAATAAAGCTGCCGTTCGTCCTATGAGACGTCATCGGTTCTTGCATATTTTGTTCCTCTGTGACGTCGGGGCGGTCGGGTAGCCTAGTGGTTAAAGCGTTCGCTCGTCACACCGAAGACCCGGGTTCGATTCCCGACATGGGTACAATGTGTGAAGCCCATTTCTGATGACCCCGTCGTGATATTTCTGGAATATTGCTAAAAGCGGCGTAAAATCAAACTCACTCACTCACTCCTCTGTGACGTCATCAGTGTTTGCCTATGTTGGTCAGCTATGAGCTGGATGTTCGCGTCAAATTATCTGTCAGAAATGACTTGTAACGAGCATATCCTTTTCCTTCTTATCAACCCACAGCGTGTGAGGGGGCTGCCTTCACCTGTTTATTCCACAACCAGGCGGATTGTGAAGCAGAGTCGGGATGGGTGGATCATTCTATGAAGTGTGAATACCCGGATGAAGTGTGTTGCCACTTTTCGTAACAGCCATGGAGGTCCGTCAGCATGTGCCCGTCACGCAGGTAGGGTTGTTTGTTTTGTTTGTTTGTTGTTTAACGCCGGACACAGCAATATTCCAGCTATATGACGGCGGTCTGTACATAAATGAGTCTGGACCAGACAATTCAGCGATTGACATTATAAACGTAATTGGGATACGATGACATGCATTAACCAAGTCATCGAGCCTGACCACCCGATCCCGTTAGTCGCCTTTTACGGTAAGCATGGGCTGCTGAAGACCTATTCTACCCCGGATCTACACGGGTCATGTATGTGTGTGTAGGGGTAGGGGTGGTGTTGTTTTCGGGATCAAAGCCTTTGTTTCTTTTCTGTATAATAAATATTTTTCCCAAGTATTGTTACTGGACATTCAACATGACAAGTGAACAATATATATTCGGGAGTTAAACATAGACCTACAATATCTCTCTCTTTAACTCCCCCCCCCCAGCCCCCCCCCCCCCCCCCTCTCTCTCTCTCTTTCTCTCTCCCTCTCTCTCTCCCTCACCCCTCTCTCTCTCCCTCTCTCTTTCTCTCTCCCTCTCTCTCACCCCTCTCTCTCTCACCCCTCTCTCTCTCTCACCCACCTCTCTCTCTCCCTCTCTCTCACCCCTCTCCCTCTCTCTCTCACTCCTCTCTCTCTCTCACCCCCCTCTCTCTCTCCCTCTCTCTCTCTCACCCCTCTCTCTCTCACCCCTCTCTCTCTCTCACCCACCTCTCTCTCTCACTCTCTCTCACCCCTCTCTCTCTCTCACCCACCTCTCTCTCTCCCTCTCTCTCACCCCTCTCCCTCTCTCTCTCACTCCTCTCTCTCTCTCACCCCTCTCTCTCTCTCCCTCTCTCTCTCTCACCCCTCTCTCTCTCACACACACACACATGAGTGTATATAAGCTAATTGTCCAATGTATGATGAGTCATTAATGATACATTCCTTCTGTGTTTCAGATGCTGTGAATCCCCAAACCAACACCTTTATACCAGGGGTATCTATGTCTCCCCTACAACCACTTTACTGGTGCTTTCTTCATACAATAAAACAATTACATAACACGACATTAATACCGAAGGTCAAACGTACGTGTGAACACGGTTGTTTACTTTAAACCGCTTTTTTATCCCGGCGTGTCAGCTTGTGGCAGGAAAGCTTAAAAAGATGCAGGTCTCAGGTGTTTACCACGGCATTGTGTGTCAAAGAATGGTAACCATGACGATATCAGGAGAATAATTCAGCACATCGTAACGTGGTGCCTTAGATGACTCGGCCTTGAGGGTGAGTGAGTTGGGTTTAACGCCGCTTTTAACAATATTCCAGTTATATCACGGCGTGTAAGCTTGATGTGGGAGGAAAGCCCAAAGTGATGCAGGTTTTAGACGTTTATCACTTTGGTGAAACCCACGAGCACGGGTATGGTGCTGACAAACCTCGAAACATAATCGGGGCGAACCGGAATTCGAACCCCCAATCATAGGTTTCTGGCGAGCCCAAGGGACGCAACTCTGCACAGCGAATTGCAGCGCTATAGACGACTGGGCCACCCGTGCCCCCTCCCCTCTTCTATTAAGATAGTGGGCGTTATGGTAATGATTATTATTAATGTATAGTTATCAACAAATGTTTGTGGATTTATTTATATATATTTATAGTTACTTTTGCTTTTAAGTATATGCTGGTATACGTTTACGAAAGCTGTCATATATATTGTAAGTTGTGGGCCGATCTCGAGGGGTATATGGTGTGATGTACCCCAAGCCGTCAGTGGCTCACACACAGGGTATATCACACCATATACCCCCGGGGATCGGTTGACAATGAATTTATCTCACCGTCATTCATTTACACAGACCCGAAATATATGGCCCAAGGTTCGCGGAGTAAAACGCTTTGATTCAGCCATTTTGACCGCTAGCAGACAAGGCAAACAAACCGAGTTACTTCCCTTTCCCACATGCTTTCGGATAAACATCGAGACTAATGCGAGACAAGCAAGTTACCTAAGGTGTGTTCCGATTGCTTCCTCAGCGCTGTACACGAGCATGGTACGTGAGCGGTCGACATTGAAAATTATTACCCGCTCCTTATCCAATCAGAAACTAGTATGTTCAAGTAAGGTGGGATTCATATATATATACTCAGTCTGCTCTGATGTTTCTGATGAACAAGATGTTAGGACCTGTGCAAAATGTGGATCTGATACTATTGATAGCTCTCTTTCAGACAGTGGACTAATTATTGAAGACAGAACTGTTGATTTTACATTGATGGGAGTGCCTGGCTATTGTGTTTTGGCTGCAGAAAGCAATTTCATTATGCATGTATAAACAACATATTTACTGACAGTGTTGATGTTATGATTGATCTGGAATTTGATCATTACAATTGTGAGTTTTGTAACTATATTATAGAGATCTAAAATGGCATTATAAGCAGCTTTGTGCTTATTTATTTCAACGTCTATACAAAGGGTCTGAACATGAGTAATTTAGTAGACCCACTTTTGTATGCCATTACTGCAGTAACTGGCTCATAAACCATGAGTACCAAAGTCCTGACAAGTAACACAACACAGTGCATGTATTTTCATATTTCATCTCTAAAGGGATGAAAAGGTTGTTATTTTATGCTACAGAGCAATAACAAAATATATGAGTTACAACTCCGTTACAACAAACTCAACTCTGTTACGTCAGGATCTTTTTAATAGATGACTTCTTTTGACAACTGATGAAAAACTTTGTTGTTTTTATTAGTTTTAACTTTAGAGTAGGATTAATGATAATATATGTTGTGACAAAAGATGAAAAATACTATATTTTGGATACTGTCTTTCATGGAAATGACTTTGTTGTTTTGGCGAGCACTTACAAATGTCCAATCATACATTTTATTTAGCCAGTTTCCATTTGTATTAACACTGAATTGTATTCGCACAAGTTAATTGCTGAATATGGTTTTATATTTCAAAACAACCTAGCGCTATTAAAATTACTTTCCATTTTGTGATCCGTAACGGAGTTGAATGTCCTAGCGGATTAGGCTAATTCATTAATTATTTTCTAATTAATTAAACACATCAATGCACTGCATTGAAATAGAAAGTACTTCTCAAGTATCATATGCTCTTATATCAAGAGAAAATTATATTAGGGACACTTTTATTTATGCAAGTTCATAATCAGAAAATTTGTCGGTTTTGAGATTTTTACCCTTTTCCGTCTTCAGTATAGGGTGGTACAGTTAACATGAATGTCTTTGTCGAACACTCTGATTTCCCTCTTCCAAAATGGTACGGACAAGATATAAATTCAGCTGATAGATCGAGAAAACCGAATCACTTTGATTACTCAGCCAGGACCAAGCCAGTGCCAGCGACCGGCCGTTGGTTCGATATTCAAAGCGCGGCGCTAATGTGACTTTTAGAATTTTCTTATAGGTGTCCTTCATACTAACAACAATGCGCTTGAATTACCATAAGTTTAAGAAATTCTTCTTAAAGAATCTTGGGTGTCGGTGCTGTTATGTTTGCAAACACAACAGCAGGCGTATGTTGTTAATGCGTATGCATAGAAATGTCAACAATGCCCATATTTGGGCCTGTATTAATAATCATGCACAACCAGATTTTGCAACCGGTTTCAGTTTGGTCTTTCACTTAAATATATATTTAACGTGGGTAATAAATAAAATACCACACCCATTCTCGTTAGATACCATTTTTACGAAACTCGTATATATATAATTTTAATACTTTCTTTTATTCAATTTTATGTATAAGGGTATTTCAGAGGTGTTTGAATGTTTAATTTGATAGATACGACTCTGGTTCAAGGAGAGACTTAATATTGCTATGTGTTGTATTTTGAACTTTTTAAAGGGTAGAATGCCAATCCTTTCGGAATATATCTAAGTTGTTGTAAAACGATATGAATGTCACCAATAGATTGCAAGCTCCATTTTAACCCAAAGCCATGATTAAAAAGAGTTAAGCGTACACGAGAAGCCAACATGTTCTTCCCAATAGTATCACGATCTATTACAGGCTTCCTTTTGCAGACGATGTTCAGGCACACATAATAACTTCAGCCATTAGAGTGGCATCGAGTATAAGTTGCTGTATGTAGTGGGAACCTCCCACATTCGCCATAACTATATTACATAGAGTTTACATACACACATCAAGAAATCTTTTACAGGCGAACAGGTGAACTTTTTCGATAGAATGAAACTTTCTACAGACCCATATGCCTCTGCCATACAATTAGATCGGCTGTATTTGGCAATCAAACAGTTTAAAGGAAAGGCGAGGTGTAACAACGCCAAGTGTAAACAAAACAGACCGCAATTGAAAGAGAGCTTTTCTTTGCAAGGTTTGATATATTTAACACTGATTTACTGAGGCTTTGTGTAATTGTGAATAATATTCCAAGGTATGTATATTCCTCGACAGTCATTTTTTTTCACATTCAAATGTCAACTTTTCTTAAACGACTGGACCATCGACATGCGTACAGCTGGAGGAAAACACGTCCGAATCTATTGACCATTTTATAGTGGGATGATCGTTTTCAAATGTCGTGACGTCAGTTGTATACACAAATTCACAAATGTGATCTTTTGGTAGGTTTGAAAGGAAATATGCATCTTTAGCTGCGAACGCCACCACGAAAAAAGTTTTTTTCTGGACCCTGAGGTCAGTTTTAACACTATGTTGTTCATTCAGGTGAATGAAATATGCATCTTAAATATATCCACAAGAATATAGGACAGATTAACATGCAGGCTAAGAAACACACAGCATCAAGAGTCTAAAGCATATCATCCCGATATCAAAAGCAAACGAAGCGGTCGTAAAATAGCCCGATACTTCCGGCGTGGACTTGTTTTTCAAGGGAGACAAATTATTAAAAAACCACAAACAACGTCCGCTACATCCTGAAGTATCAGCCATGTGACTTCATTACAACACTGCGATACCAGTGCCCCCCAGTGCAAATTACAAACAAATATTAAATGCAACGCCTTATGTCCAGTGAGTGATCAACTATTTCATATTCTGGGATGTCGGGTGGTGGGAGGGGGGCGAGGGATGGGATTTTGTTTGGAGACTGGAAATGCTCTCAGCTATAGCTGCAAACCCGGATAGACTTTTTATTTAAACTATGAATCTCAGCAACAATGTATTTGTGTGCGAGGCAATTTCTATTTTGATCTCGTCAGTCCGAAGCATAACTATTTGTTTCAAGCATTAACAGAGACCGTTTGTTTTAATCAACAGCCAATTAACACACACACCACACTCACACGTACAAACACACCAGATTCACACATTGAGAAACACACATACACACATCAGTCACCACACATATCACACACACACCACTCACACGTACAAACAGACCAGATTCACACATTGAGAAACACACATACACACATCAGTCACCACACATATCACACACACCACACTCACACGTACAAACACACCAGATTCACACATTGAGAAACACACAAACACACACACCACTCACACGTACAAACACACACACCACACTCACACGTACAAACACACCAGATTCACGCATTGAGAAACACACAAACACACACATCACAGTCACACACACCACACTCACACGTACAAACACACCAGATTCACACATTGAGAAACACACATACACACATCACAGTCACAACACACATCACACACACCACACTCACACGTACAAACAGACCAGATTCACACATTGAGAAACACACAAACACACACATCACAGTCACCACACACACACCACACTCACACGTACAAACACACCAGATTCACACATTGAGAAACACACAAACACACACATCACAGTCACCACACACATCACACACACCACACTCACACGTACAAACACACCAGATTCACGCATTGAGAAACACACAAACACACACATCACAGTCACCACACACATCACACACACCACACTCACACGTACAAACACATCAGATTCACACATTGAGAAACACACAAACACACACATCACAGTCACCACACACATCACACACACACCACACTCACACGTACAAACACACCAGATTCACACATTGAGAAACACACAAACACACACATCACAGTCACACACACCACACTCACACGTACAAACACACCAGATTCACACATTGAGAAACACACAAACACACACATCACAGTCACCACACACATCACACACACCACACTCACACGTACAAACACACCAGATTCACACATTGAGAAACACACAAACACACACATCAGAGTCACCACACACATCACACACACACCACACTCACACGTACAAACACACCAGATTCACACATTGAGAAACACACAAACACACAA